GTTCTAATATGTTGGCCCTTGATAGCTATTGGCCCTTATTATGGGTTGCATTCGATTTTCGATCTTCGCTGGTTATCGAANCCATTCCACTGGGAGCGTTATTACACCTGTCACTGCGGTTTCACCACCGTTTGCCGTTCTAATATGTTGGCCCTTGATAGCTATTGGCCCTTATTATGGGTTGCATTCGATTTTCGATCTTCGCTGGTTATCGAAGATCGAAAGTTAAATTCGTATTATGAGCTATGCAACCGTGTCGAAATTTTCGTTGAGTATCGGATTTTCTGTCGAACAGAATTTTGCTTTCGATGGAGTAGCGAAGTGTTAGAAAATTGTGAAAAATGTATGATTTTGCAGTTGTTTTCTTACTTTTTGGCGGGAAGACACTAATTTTAAACAATTTTTTATAAATCTCATGCAGTTTTAACGTCGTGAATACAAAACACAAGCTCGAAAGGCTGCTTTTACTTGTGAAGGAAAATCCCAATACTCAGCTGGCATGATCTCTGAGAACAAATCATAGAGCTGTGGATAGTTTTAAAATATTTTAAATAGATTTGGCTCACAAACGCCTCTTTAGACAGTCGGAAGTTTTTAGTAAATCTGTAGACAAATTTCTTAAATATATTTTATGTCAAAATATATTGTAAAGACTACACTTAAATAGAGCTCTCGATTTTGTTCGCACATTTTCAAACAGCCCGGGTATATGAGCAGCGAGTACTCGCATACTTGTTCAATGCTTATTACTCGAAAATTTTCGAGCATGAGCTCGAGCAATTCGAGTTTTTTCGAGTAACTTGAGCAATGTTTTTTTTTATTATATTGATATTTTTGGTAGCAACTTAAAATTTTTCAAATTATTGATATATAATGCAAAGATCGTTACATTGGTATTTAATAATATAATTTATTTAACATGAAATAGAAAGCAGCTGCTGACAAATACAATTTACAAATTTTCTTTTGTTTATGAAATTGTTCAAAAACTCGAAAATTTTGAACAAACATTTGAGCAGTTGAGCAATGAACGAGTTTCGAGCGAGTATCGAGCTACTCGCATAGCTCGATACCCGGGTATCTAGAGCTCTACACTTAAACTCTTAAACATTTACTACTCCTGGTCAGTTCACTAAACTCTCATCCTCTGACGAATCGTTGAACCCCAGAACTTCGTTGTACTATTTTTACCACGTTTTTATAAACTTGCTTTCTTTTTTATTTCATTTTAATTTGCACAAATTTACATAAATATGTATAAGCACACTATTTAGTTTGTTCGATTTGTAAACAAAGCTTCTCATCGGTGAAAAATATGCTATTGTGAACAACATAAACGAGCGAAGTTCACAATAGCGCCATTCTTCATAGAATGAGCGCCATAATACCACTTGAAAATTCGTTCGATCAGCACTTTCGACCACAGTCGAAGATCGAATGTAACTCATAATAGGGGCTATTATCTTATCTTCCTTGCCTTCGAGTATTACACTTGCGTTTTTTCCTAAGCAACTCGCCCCGGCTCCTGAGTCTAAAAGCGCTAACACCTCCTGTCTCCCTATTCTGGTTTTCCCAAAAAATCTGTTGTCCCCCTTGATGGTAACAATAGTGGAAATAATCTTATTATGTATCCTCTTGAGATTCTTTTTCTTGGCCCTCATCTTCTGGATTTTAGCAAAGTTCCTATTTCTCTTCTTCCCTATAATTCCCTCACAAAAAATCCGCCTGCGTGCCTCTTCGTATTCGATCTTCCTTTGGTGTAGACTCTTCCTAATAATGCTCCTGTCTTCTTCGCTGTTTTCCTGTTCTTTATCATTATTTTCACTGGTAAATGTGTTTCTGCTAAGGACCCTGACCACTTGTTTTCCGGGTTCTCCTCCATCTGGCGTGAGTCCCCGGTTATCTCGGCCAGTTTTAAGTTTCCCTGCACTGGTTTAAACACACAATAAGACGTATCACCTCCACAAGAAAAACAAATCATATTATGAAACTTACGTACTATTTTTTTGGGCTTCGGTGGGATTTTTGGAAAAATGGTCAACGGGCATACCACAGGTTAAAACATAACATGAGGTGGAAAGGTAATGGACAAAACGAACCTACGGTGGACAAAGACACATTAGGATGACTAGACGAGGACACATTAGATTGAACACTCACATACTGCTGTGGCTTTTTACGTTGAATTCTACCGATTTTTTCTACTTTCCTATCTTCTATATTTTCTAATTTTGAAGGCTCCGTGAAATCTATCTCATTAACCTGTTTTGGTCTATTCCTGTTATCGCGCATCACCTTTTCAGCCCTCTTACACTCGCTTTTGAGATCCGCTAGCGTGTCCATTTTTGAGGCAAAAGTTAGATTCGCGAGGTACGGCTTAAGGTTTCCCCTAATAATGCCTACCAACTCCTTCTGTGGTATTTTTTTTCTAAGGCGGAATGTCAGACTGTGAACGTCTCCGTAGAAATCATCGAAAGATTCCTGAACCTGTTGCTTCCTTTCCATGAGTTCCCTAATTATCTCTTAGTCTGATTCGGCTGTCTTGAAGTGGTTTAACAGTTCAGGCTTAAGTTCAAAATAGCCGAAGCTCGGGTCATCAGCATTGTCTTCAAGAATCTGCCAATACCACTTCAAGGCATTACCGGTAACCAGACAATGAAAACAAGTGAACAACTGGTAGTGCGAAATACCGTATTGTTCACGCAACTTTTCGATTCTAAAAATGAAACGTTCTACTGTAATCCCCTTGGCAGATCCGTCGACGTGCCACTTATCTAGGTAAATTTTCTTCAAAGTTCTGGACTAATTAAGCGCACTCGAACTACTTCGTCCACTAGCCCCGTCCTCACCTCGGCTACGTTCTGCATCTATTGGCCTCTCGCTTCGGTTTTCTGGTGTTGACGCCATGCCTACCCTGGTTGGTTGTGCGTGTGTCGAAGCTTCCACACCAGCTAAGCCTCGCATGTGGGGGACCTCAGTCATACATTGAGCTAACATATCACTGTTTTGCGCCATCATTCGGCTCAGCTGCTCAGTATCTATTGACTTCAGACGACCTAGGTCCTCCACCTGCAGACTTCTAACTACCCGCGGCAGCGTCACTAGATGGCATATTCAGCTCGTCCTGCTCTGACATTTCTAAAATCTCGTATAGTTTTCGAGAGAAACTAAGGGTATTGTTTCACGTGTTAATGGCTACCTCGGTAGTTATTATGACCGAAGATTGCGAATTTTCCTCGTGTCTTAATGTCGCAAACACCCTAGCCGTGCACCTGTTAAAATAATCGGTGGGCAGGAAGTCCACCGGATATGAAATGCCTGTGTCTATTTGGGTGAAGAGAGACCCAACGACTTGGTTCTCTAATGGTCCTATTATGTATGGCTACCAGTATCGTNGACTGGTGTCTAGTAGACGTGGCTACCAGTATCGTACTTTGTATTACGTATAGCGATTAATCTCACTATACAGAAAAACGCAGAAAACATCCCTGAGTTTGCTTTTTTGACATGTACATTTCGAAGTAATTGGCAACTTTGCTCCAATGTGTTTGACAATTCATGTAAACAAATAAAAAAATCGTTACAACCGGGAAACATTTATGGCCCTTTTATGTATGGCGACTGGTGTCTAGTTGCCGGTCTAGTAGCCGTCGCTACCAGTATCGTACTTTGTATTACGTATAGCGATTAATCTCAGTATACAGAAAAACGCAGAAAACATCCCTGAGTTTGCTTTTTTGACACGTACATTTCGAAGTAATTGGCAACTTTGCTCCAATGTGTTTGACAATTCATGTAAACAAATAAAAAAATCGTTACAACCGGGAAACATTTATGGCCCTTTTATGTATGGCGACTGGTGTCTAGTTGCCGGTCTAGTAGCCGTCGCTACCAGTATCGTACTTTGTATTACGTATAGCGATTAATCTCAGTATACAGAAAAACGCAGAAAACATCCCTGAGTTTGCTTTTTTGACACGTACATTTCGAAGTAATTGGCAACTTCGCTCCAATGTGTTTGACAATTTATGTAAACAAATAAAAAAATCGTTACAACCGGGAAACATTTATATTTATAAAAATAAAGTAGCAGAATGATCAGCAGCTATGAGTTATTTTTCGCAACTCGGGAAGAGTGTGCAAACGTTGCTCTAATACGGCGTCACATAAGGGATCGCTCCAATCCTTAGGATCTACCAGTTGTTAAGTAAGTTAAAAAAATCGTCATGTACATATTTCTTTAACAAATCTATACCTCCAGGTTCGTAAGCAATTTTCGGATATCAAAGGAAGCATTTGTATATTTGTTGGAGGAACTATCCCCTCATTTCAAAAGCAGCTTTCGATCAACTGCGGTACCTCCAATTCTTAAACTCTGCGCAGTGCTCCGTTTCTTTGCGGAAGGGAGTTATCAAAAATGCCAAGGGAATGATTTCAATATTGACATCTCCCAACCCACTATGTCAGTAATACTAACTGAAGTTACTTCTTTAATCGAGCAGAAGATTTGTCCCAGGCACATCAAATTTGACACTAGCGAAGAAGAGCAGAGTAAAAACAAAATACATTTTTACAATAAGAGTGGATTTCCAGGTGTGTTGGGTTGTGTGGATGGCACTCATGTGCACATTTTAGCACCTGAAAAGGAACTGCAACACCTGTACATAAACAGAAAAGGATTTTTCAGTATAAACGCGTTAATGGTAAGTTAGTTTCCGCATATTTATCTTGGATACACNTGGTAAGTTAGTTTCCGCATATTTTTCTTGGATACACCCAAATTCATTATTACCTAGGTTTGCGATTTCAATATGAACATAACGTATGTCGATGCCAGATATCCAGGAGCCACACATGATGCCTTCATATGGAATAATAGTACTCAAGGAAATTATGTCGAATAACGCACGAGAAAACACATGGCTTTTAGGTGATATTTTGAAGCACAACCTGTAGGAAGGTTCTGTAACCAGTTAGCAACAATTTTCGGATCGATATAGCAAGTTGCCGACGTGTGATGAATGTCGAAGTGTTGCGATAGCGATCCGAAAACTGGTTCCACAATCTGCCTACTTGTAAAAGAATTAACAAATGTGTTTGTTTCGGTAGGTGACGCTGGGTTTCCGTTGGAGACATATCTGATGACTCCATTTCGAGCCGCAGTAAGTGGCAGTCCAGAAAGCAAATACAACAAAGTACATTGCAAGGCGAGGAACATTATAGAACGGACTTTTGACGTTTTGAAATCAAAATTCAGATGCCTATCTTCTGAGCGCGGACTTCACTATGCTCCACAGAAAGCAACTGCCATCATAAATTCTTGTTGTGCTATTTACAATATTGGCCGTCGCTTTGAGTCAGGTTTTGAAGAACCCAGTATAGAAGCCGAGATTATAGACACAGATATAAATTCGGATTTTGTAACAACCAGCCATAATATTCTAGCACAAAAAATTAGAAATAACTTAATGAATTCTTTCATACAATAAAATCTCTTTATTGATTTAAAAAAGCAATACAAATAGTTTACATTTCACTAAATAAAAAATAATATACTCATGAATAAAAAAAAAACACTTTCATTTGTAATTTATTTATATATAATATTTATTTAAAATACTTTCAAATAAATTAAAGTTCAGTTCTTCAGTCCTTAGGTAACTTGGTGCGATTTATAATCCGCCCAAACAAAACTCTTAAATATACAGGCAGGTTCTGTAATTCACTTCCGAGTGAATTTGAGTCGAATTCGCGTTGAATTCAAATTGGCAGGGATTGAAATTCACTCGGAAGTGAATTGCAGAACCTGCCTGATTGAATCTTTAAAATTACATATTGTTTAATTGGTATTCGATAAGTTGAATTTTCTTTCGTTTAAGTTCCGCTCTAAATTCATATTTTCTTTTAATAGTTCAAATTTTTCTTTTTTTTAAATCATGATTTTTTTCAGCATATTTGCTCATTTTGTATGTATTTTTTTCTAGTTTTTTTTTTATTTTGTGCTATATCCGAGTTATTTAAAGTTTGCGACTTTAACATGTCCACTTTCATTTCTTCAATATTTTTTGTTTGCCTTTTTTTTGGAACAGTTATCGAAATATTTGGCGATGAACTACATGACGGCTCTACGTTTTGTTCGTCTTCGTCCATTTCCACAATACCAAACACATTGCCGGGTGGATTTACACTTACGTCTGTGTGTAAAATATCTGCTACCACTTGCTCGAGTGCAGATAACGTTTGCTCCTCTGATGGGCCTCCACCAGTCGTTCTTATATTTCGGTTATTTGCACTAAGTTTCTTCTTGGTTTTGGCCTTGTAGTTAATCCATACCTACACAAATGTATGTATACATATGTACATGAAAATGCTTATTGCAGTATGTACATATATTATAGTAAAAATTATTACCCGCTGCCACTCTTTTCCAGATCTATTTGGAGGGCCGAAACTATTTATTTCGGTAGCAAAAGCGTCCCATTGTTCGTCGTTTTGGATTTTGTTTTGTCCAAATGTCCGTGTTCCTCTTGCAATTCCTGGGTTGGATTGCATTAAATGCGCCAAACGCTCAAATTGCTTGCTATTAGTAATTTTTACTGGCCTGGAGAAATATCAAACTGTTAATTATATACCAATATAAATAGAATTTACATATTACTACAATTTTTCTGCCATGATCACAATTTGTTTCAGCTTTCTCCTCCGAAATTCGCAAAATATAACAATGGCGACTGATGCTGATCAGTTGCTTCAATTTGACGTTTGTGTATACTATAAAAAGAGATGGTAGCCATACATAATACAGAAAATTGCGCTACCAGACTCAGTAGCCTTGCCAGTAGCCGACAGTCAGTAGCGAGTTGCCATACGTAATGTGAATTTCAGTCTATGGTTGCCCATCGGCTTATCAGTCGCCATACATAATAGGGCCATTAAGCTCTCGCTACGCTTCGTGCGACTCTACGGTTCGAGTTCAGCTGTCCTAATCCTCCTGGTACTATTTCTTCACTCTCACGCTCGTCCATTCACACAAATAATTTTGACGATAAGTATTCAGTCACTTTCGCAAAAAGCTCAATTCAGTGACGCCAAAAGATAAAAAAAATTCGATAAAAAACTCAAACGTTTCCAAACAAATATTCAAACTTCAAAAAAAATTATAATTCAAAGAAAATATAATTAACACTATAAGGGGATTCAGAAAAAAACTAAAAATTCAACTCAACTTCGATTCGGGAAATGTACGTTTGTAAGTGTAGGATAATAAATGCTAAAAAGTATAGTTTCGGTAAACATGCAAAGTGTAAAATATAAAAATATTTAAAATTGAAAAGTAATAAGGATAAATGAATAAAATTATAAATAAAAGTATAAGACGTTAACTGTTTAACTAAAATAAAACTAAAATAAAAGTTCAAAACAAATTCAGATTTTGTTTATTTTAAGGCGAAATTTGCGAATTATTTATTTATATTTTTATATTGAAAAATGTGTATAAAATATTTTTCTTTGTTATGTAAGTCTGTATGTATAAAGTTTTGCTTTGGTGTGTGTTGGTGTTGCCTTGGCGAGGTCATTGTGGGAGTGTTGGTCCGTGTGTCCACTGTCCAAAAGTCAAACTCAACTAATCCCCCTCTTTATGTTAACAAGTGTGGCACTTCAACGACTGAAGTTCAGGCTCCAAGCGCGGCTGCCACACTTTCCCGCAAAACTCCTAGCGTAAACTACCCCCTGAGCGAAACTTCCATAAGCCCCACGTATATGCGGTGCTGGACCGCACACACGGCAGCTTGAATGGTATATCTCACAAAGACAAAAAAAATAAAAATAAATAAAAATCAACTGGCCATCGTCTCATCTTCAGTTTCCACTCATAAGAACGCAGAGGTCCTTATACCATGTCCCCACCGGAGCTAACCACGTAGTTATGGCTACTGAGTTGGTTATCCCGATAACCCACTTGATTTAGCGTAGTTTCGCCATATAAAAATGACAGCACTTAACCATTTCACTGAGATGGTTAAAAGCTAACCAACCCGAAACCACGTCGAGAGTCTGATACAACCCTGTGTTTCCCCGCCATCTGTGGATCATTAGCGTTAAAATGTAAAGAAATCGTTCCCTACTAGTGTTTGGACTCAGCTAAAATCAGATTAGATTTACTCCGGTTTTTAAAAAAATTTGAAATCAAGTCCTCTTTACTCCGCTTGACTTCAAATCTATTCCGTTTTTAGATTCATGTTATGCCCCTCTTGGGGCCGTTTTTTGAGTGTTCACAACCGGTTTCAGTAAAAAAATTGAAAGTTAGCCAAATCTCACTGTTAAAAAGTAACTTTTTCATAGCAATGCGCCAATAAAGTAACTTCGGAATTTTTTGATGTATGGCTGTACAAATTGGAGGATGCAGAACTTTACTTAAAAATTAAGTGTTAGATACGTTCTACTATATAGAAAATGCTAAAAATTACGTAAATTGTAACATATCCTTACATTGCCTCGCGTACTTATTTTGCATGAATAGAAAATATTTTAGTCAAACAATTAATGTCAGAAACAAAAATTCAATCTAATACGGAAATTTTGTTTTTGCTCCGATTTTTGCAGGAATTTAGTCCTGAATCGATTTTTGGAAGTCCGAACACTGTTCTTTACATTTGTACTGTTTTATAAACCTTAAACCGCAGTGTGGACAGCAATAGTTAGTGAGGTGGTTAAGTTCGATTTGAGATGGTTAACTTTTTGGTGGGGACATGGTATTAGGAGGTACCCTGAAGATGAGGCAGGCACTCCCCCCTATTTGCCAATTGGGCACAAATCGCCTACGATGACCGAAGACAATGATACCTCCTTGACCCTAACCGTCCGATAGAAAAGAAACTAAGATAGAAGTATGCAAAAAGAAAACTAAAATGAACTGAAAAAGGAAAAGGTCTTAGTATTGGCAATGATGGGAAATCTAAAAATTAGTGGGCTATTACGTTGGGCGCCATTGTAATGTAGCAACATGGTCGAGCCAGGCGAGGCGGCATGCTTACATCCCAAGCTTGCTCGTCGTCGGAGTGGGTCATTTCCGCCTGCCCTGCTGTCAACCACATTAGCAAAAAGTTATTCATGCCTGATACCTAGTGTACTAGTGGAGATGACAATGATAAAAAAATAGCAAGGTAGAACTGTTCTCTCAATTTGTCGGCCATGATTTTTTTTTGAAGTTTGCCAACATTTTAAAATCATATAAAAGTGAAAATAAAAAATTGAAATTGTTCGAAATTGTTGTTGCTTGAGATTGAAAATGAAAATGTGTGTGTGATTGTGAGTAAATTTAAAAATTAAATTGTTTGGAAACGTCAAGAATTTTAAAAGTGACTCTCAGCGGTTCTACCTTACTATATTTTTATCATGGAGATGACTATAGCAAATGCGAAGCAGAGAACAAAGAGATAGCAACAAATGAAGAGATGGTCCTGTCCTGTCCTGTCAGGTGGAGTCATCCCACCCTTCTTCTACGCGAACTTCACGCGAAGCCTTGGGCGTTGTCGTGACTCCTCACCTACTTTACAACGCCCCCTAAGCTGACATTAGTCCGTCTATCTAAAAGTCCGTCATTATACCGTCATTGTCAACGTTTGTACACTCCCACTTCCCCTCTGCTGCACAAGCGCAACACCCACACTAAAAATTTCGTGCTTAGCACTTCATTGCGAAAACCCAACACTTAAACGAAATCAACCTCAAATCATTCCTTTCCTTTTTTTCTCACTTTATTATTACATCAAANAACTTTACAACGCCCCCTAAGCTGACATCAGTCCGTCTATCTATAAGTCCGTCATTGTCAACGTTTGTACACTCCCACTTCCCCTCTGCTGCACAAGCGCAACACCCACACCAAAAATTTCGTGCTTAGCACTTCATTGCGAAAACCCAACACTTAAACGAAATCAACCTCAAATCATTCCTTTCCTTTTTTTCTCACTTTATTATTACATCAAACTTTAACCCTAATTACAACAAAAAAATCCAACACTTAACTCTAAAACAACAAAACGGTAAGTAGAACTAAAGGGATGTGCCTAGAGAAAATCCGCTCTACATATATGTATGTACCCTGACATGTATGTATATATGCATAAAAATTTAACCAAAATAGAACATTAAATCCAACTGGAACTATGCTCCCGGCGCTGCTGTTGTTCGACGGTACATGTGGAGCGATAGTCTCCACTGCTCTCTCCCACACTGCTGCCGTCGATGTTATGGTCCTCTCCACTGTTATGCTCCTCTCCACTGTTGTGCTCCTCCTCTGCTTGATGGAATCCACATGTATGTCGAGTGNAATAGAACATTAAATCCAACTGGAACTATGCTCCCGGCGCTGCTGTTGTTCGACGGTACATGTGGAGCGATAGTCTCCACTGCTCTCTCCCACACTGCTGCCGTCGAT